ATACAGGGCTTTAGAATATCGATACAGTATCGGGAAATGAAATATCGCGATATTTCAGTGTATCGATATTTTCTTACACCCCTAGTATTGACGCAGACTTGCTCGGGGGTGCAGTTGTGACTCTCAGCCTGACACTCATTAACATCTGAGCAGACAGACGTGGACAAACACAACAAGTCGTCAGTTAAATCATTTCTGTGGTTTCCAGTGGACTCATCAGAGCAGCTGTGAGAGTATGAAGTAACTAACCCTCACAGTTCACTCCATCGTTTTTCAGCGTAAAACCTTCAAAGCAGCCACATAATCCATCACCCACACACAACTGAGCACAGCTGGTGTCTGAAAAGACAAAAAAAAACTTAGATTTAACAAAAACTAAAGTGGAATACATCATTTTTATTCTGATTGAAAATGATCAATTATTGAAGATGCCAAACTTGTGCAGGTGTCTGCTTCCTCCGGAGATCTGGTAGGAAAAATTTGAAGATGTTTTGGTTCTGAGAGGAAAAAAAAAGTATTAAAATCCCACAATGAGTCATAAAACAGTTAAAAAAATGTGTCACTGAATTGATTATCATATAAATGGCTCGAAGCCCCAGTTTGTTTGAGTCTTTTACCTTCTGCAGTGGGTTTGATCTCCTTGGCGTCCTCGCAGCACATTTTAGCTACGCTGCTGCACCGCTCTCCCAGCTGCAGACCCCGAAGCCCACAGCCCGGACCCATCGACGCCACCTTCAGCCCGAGCGTGCAGCAGTCGCAGCAGACCTAAACAGGACGGAAACAAGGGCGTTTAGAAGAGCAAAAAAAAAGCAGTTTCCAGTCGCTTGAGTTGAGAGTTTGAAGACCTTAGAGATGTGAGTTTCCCAGGGGGGTCCGGTGAAGAAGGGCCTCTCGCAGGCCCCCCGACCCCGGGCCATCCAGATGCCCCTGTTACAGGCTTTAACTTCTGCCACCGACCGACAGCAGTGCTCCTGAGCAATACTGTAAATAAACAGCACGTGTTATGAATGTTTTAGTTAGTGAGATATCAGATATTTTAATGGAAAGTGATTAGTGGCTGTCACCTTTAGATATTTATCAAAATAATTTTCTTTTAGCACTCAGCTTCAGCTTCTCTTGCTCCAAATTTGAGCTTAATGTTTGTAAAATCGACTGGTTTTAACCCTCCTGTTATATTCGTTTCTGAGGAACAGCAATAATGTTCCTGGGTCAATTTGACCCAGGGCATGTTTAATTAGGCTATAGCAGGGCTATTTAACTGGCGGCCCGTGGGCCACATCCGGCCGGCGAGTGACCAAAGTTCGGCCCGCCAATTGGTTCATTTATCTTTTAAGCCCAAACCCCCAGTTTTCGACTTTACTTTTATTTTAGTTAAACCTAGACGTGTTTGGTGTCTACAGAACCATCAGAATCTTGGCTACAAGCTGGTAAAACCATTTCCATGAACATCCAAGACAGTTAAAACTACAAGCAGTTGAAGATAAAACTATGAAAGTGAAAATAAAATTGGTTTAAAAATTTGGCAAGTCAGAGATGTCAAAATATTTTGTGGTAAATAGGAGGCTTAATGTGTTTCTTTTTTTTTGTTTTATCATCACTACATTTATTAAATAGGGTTCTGTATGTTTTCATGATTAAATACAGCAAAATAAACTATTTCAAAGGTAATGGATCTTTGTAATACTTAGTTTATTTACATAACTTTAATTGCGAGCAATTGAGTTGAATAGCCCTGGGCTATAGTGTCAGAAACCAAAAAAATCCACAAAACATTTTTATATCTGTTTATTAACTCCATTACTAAAAATTTCAACCAATATTTGTGAATTGATGTTTTTTATTATTTCAGATAATGGATCAGTGAGGAAAATTCACTCATTTTCCTAAAAAAAAGGGCATTTTACATTTTTTTAGGTCCAATACAAAAACATACACACAAAAAAACAATGATTATTCATTAATTTTTTTTATTTTTTATTTTTTAGAAGTGATATTTATTATTAAACTTGAGACACCTATTCTGTTCTGGGTCAAATTGACCCGCTAATTAAAAACCAAGACAAATAAGTCATGAAGATTTATATTGAAAATAAACTTTATTCTTTAAATGAGCAGCAACCTCTGAATGTCACAAACCCTAAAATGTAAAATGAACAATTTTCATTTTATATGTAAATTATACCAATTAAGACAAATAGAAAAAGTTTCATGCAGAAAAAATACTTTAAACTATTTTTTTTATTTTAAATTTCAAAACAAGTCAATTTGACCCACAACATAACAGCGAGGGTAGTTATCTGTGGCAGACATCTTGAACATTTCACCCACATGTGCCGTCATAAACTAAAATCTGTCCATTGGTTCATGAGATATTTTGCTCAGAGTTGTAAAGTAACTAAGTACAAATACTTCTTTACTGTACTTAAGTAGAATTTTTGAGTATCTGTACTTTACTTAAGTAATTATTTTTCAGCCTACCTTTTACTTCTACTTCTTACATTTTCACAAAATTATCTGTACTTTCTACTTACAGTTTTTAAAAAGACAAGAAGAAGAAAGTTGCTACTTTTATTTCATTTTTGCTTGTTTTCATTCCAGCTTGTTATTGTAAAAAATAAATACTATCCATATAAACTGTGCCTCCTAGATAGAGTGAATTTAATTGTAGTTGAATGAGAAAAATAAATATATAAAATTCTGATACTGTATTAGTTTGTACACAAACAAATCATGTCACACTCCAGCAGGACATGATCAATCAAATGATGACTGTATTTAAGAAGTATTTGAATTTCATGAATTATATTATTATATTTGGCCGCAGCCCTCAGATAGATTTGTGCAGCCTTGATATATGTAAATAAACTAAAACAGCTAGACTGGTGCATCCTAAATTTAACATCAATTAATTATTTTAATATAATATAGTCATTTCTGCATTTTTTTGGAGAGAGGTCACCTCCTAATGTCATTACTTAAAATCTAACTGCTCATTTTAAATCAATATTTTTACTTTTAATACTTAAGTACAAAAAATATCAGATACTTTGACTTTTACTCAAGTAATATTCCTAAAGGAGACTTTAACTTTTACCAAAGTAATTTTTTGGTAAGATTGTGCTTTTACTCAAGTATAACTTTGTGGTACTTTATACCAGTGGTTCCCAAACTTTTTATCTTCTGACCCACAAAATATTCATGGAAAAAAACGTGACCCCAAATATTACTGATCTGAGCACACAAACTTTGTTAATAACTCTAAAAACAAAGGCTACACAAATATAAATACTTTTTATATGTTTTTGTAATAATTATAGGGAAACATTACATCACCAAGTATTTTAATACCCTTTAAATTTATTTCTGAAGTGCAGTGGTTCCCAAATTTTTCAGCTTTTGACCCACAAAACAACAGTAGCAGAGACCTGTGTCCACAACTATTTTTGGATGATAAACATTTGTATCAGGTCAACTAAACATGGGCATAGTAACAATATTTATTATTCTACATTTATACATTTTAGGCAACTATGGCAAAAATGTAATTAATTTAGAAAATCTTTTCAGGACCCCACCTTGATGTTTCAGGACCCCACTTTGGGTCCCGACCCCAACTTTGGGAACTACTGCTTTATACAACACTGATTTTGCTAACATACAAACAGGTTAATGCCCAAGTTTTAAGCTAAATTTCGACACAATTAGAATGGCCGTCAAATTTCAGCATATTTGTGAAATTGACTAAACTTTACCCGTTTTTGTTTGCTAGAGTCAGCTGACTGGGGCAGCCATCTTGAATTGGCTCCAAGAACTAATCAGCTGTAGAGGTCTATCAAATCATTGTTACCTCAAAGTTTTATTAAAACTGGTTCATGAGGTGGCCGACAGCGACAAAAGTTTGAGACTGTAGTTCTGAGGTGTATAAAGCAGGTGTTGCTTACCTGCAGATGTGGGAGATGGAAGGTGGAAGGATGGCACAGTCTTCATCTCGCTCTGCTTTGGTCCTCCCGACCTCACAGCACTCCTGCACTGAAGGAGATCTGCTCTCTGTGGTGTGGGCATGACAGTCTTAAAAAAAACATGAAAATCAGCAAATAAACGTGCCGAAACTTTAAAGGAACGTTCTTACCCAGCCTGTTCAGGAGCCCAACGAGGGAAAGCAGAAGAACGATCCTGGGCGCCATCAGATTCAGCTGGAAGCTGCTGGCAACCAGAACATCTCAAAAGGAGCACATCTGTCCCGGCGAGCTTTGAGATCAGTCGGGGTGGTGTTGGTAGGAGGGGTCAGGGTGAGCGCTGATTAAAAAGCATTGTGCTAAAGTACAAACTGTCTTCTTCAAGATAAAAAAACTTGAGTCTTTATTTCAGGCGACCTGCTTAACTTAGTAAACTCATTTTTATCCTCCAACACGGATCAATCTAAACTGCTGTACAGTCGCATTATTGTGAAATGTCATTTTAGTGTCAGCCAAGCAGAAGTCATTTGTGCAACATGTAAACTTGTTTATTAAACATTGTTTTTTTTTAATTCATTATCAAGTTTCTAGCGTGTCCTATCCTATGCATCTTTAACAATAAAAAGACATTTAACAGTTCATTTTAAAACTATGGTCCGTTTCTACACATTAATCAAAAACTTTCACGTCTTCTTTTATTAATTTGTTTCCTAAAAGTACCAAAATCTGTGCAACTCCCATACGTTTAATCATGATGCAAGACAAGCTGGAAAACAAGGAGCTGATTATTTTGTCTCCGATAACCGTCAAGTAAATCAACGATTGTTTGTGTTGCGATAAGAACAAGGCTGCTTTGTGATAAAACTGTGTGGATGTGTGCGTCAGAGGGGGCAAATAAAGAGCAACAACGTTCACTTACAATTTGTTCAACAGTTACAGTACTTAGCGGTCGTATTTTTGATGGCATATTAGGGTTTTATATTTAAAAAAGTGGGGCAAAATTCACAAAATGTTTGGTGTGAAAAGTAAAAAAAAAGGCAGCTCTAAAGCCTGCCTCTCTCATGGTATGGGGGTGCATTAGTGCTTCTGGCATGGACACAAGATTTGGAGTCTAGAACAGACGTCTCAATCAGACCACGTCTTTGTTTTTCAGGGAAGGCCTTGCATATTTCAGCAAGACATTGCTTAACGTCACTCTGCGTCCGTTACAACGTCCCCCCTCTAAAAACTCCAACAGCTGGTCTCAATTACACATTTACACACAGAAGGTACATTTATAGTGGAAAAACTTGCAAATGTAATGAATATAATCTCAGCAATTGGAGGGTAGATCCAGAACAAAATCAGCCAGGAGCGAAGAAACGGGGGGGGATAATCACCCAAATATGCCATCGTACATATTTGATGCATTTAATACTATAAATAAAAGAAATCCATACAATTGTAACAAAATGCTAATTAAAACTGCTAAACAAAATGGCTTTTGTATAGTCATATTTCATGCATTGCAAATCCAACAAAAAAAATACCTGTGCTTTTTAATCAATAAAATTATGTACAAAGGTTTTTTTTTACCTTATACAGAATGTTTTACAGTCATCGCAGAAAATAAAAACACATAAAAAGCTTATTTATATCCTTTGTTGTGCATTTACAGCGTAACTGCAACTCAAAACGTGTTCAGTGCAGCGTTGCTTTAAAGTAGCATGAAAAAACCGATTGTAGCTAACCTACGCCGGGGTCGACTCTGTGGAAGACATAAAGCGTCCATCTTGTTTCCCGTCTGCTCCGTTTAACCCGACTCCTCCGAGGCTGCAGGGGTGGGCTTCTCCAGCGAGTCGGGAGGGTCCAGGGTTTCGTCTGCAGGGAGCTGAGGGCTCTCCACTTTTAGCGAGCTTGAAGCTACGTCGTCTTTAGTTTCACCGTCGGGGCTGTTTTCCACTTGGGTCGCCTCGCCCTGTTTGTCCTCCTCCACAGGAGGCAGACCTCCCTCTGCGTTCGATACAACCTGGCTTTGGTCCGTCTGACTTGTTTCGGCCCGCTCCGAGCCCGAGTTCTCGCCCTCGGCCGGGGTTTCTTCCACTTCCACTTTAGCGATACCCTGTTCCGGTGGACTTGGCGGCTTTTGGTCTTCAGCGGGGGCCACGTCTCCCTCCGTCGTCGGCATCTGCTCCTCTTCTTCTTCAATCTCGTCCTCTAAAGGAGGAATCATCTGCTCCTCCCTCCCTCCAGGAAACACTCTGTCTGGGTAGACGAGCTTCAGCTGCTCCTCAAAGTAGTCCTCCAGGTACAATCCGGCACTCCCGATCTCAGAAGTCACCTGACAACAGTGGACATTTTAGAAGGTCAGGTAGACATTAGAATGAAACTTGAGAAGCAAAACACCTCACTCTCTTATCCAAAGACCAGGAATTATGTCAAATAACCCAACATATCTCAAAGCACGTTTAACTTTGCAGAAATGCTAATAGAAACCTACCTTGTAGTACTTTGCACAGTTGAAAAATATGAGCCTGACGTCGGTAACAAACTCCTCAGGACCGACGTAATGTTCCCCCTCTTTCTTTGACTCCAGCTTCTTTTTCACGATGGATAAATCCATCGGTGTCTTGATCAGCTCTTTGTACCGTCGAGTTTCCTATGATGAGTAAAACACGCAGGTGATCGGTGTGCTGAACACCACTTTATTTAATTTTAACCTCTTAAACCCCAAGCGGTTTTCTTGAAGTTTTTGTCAAAATACTATGCCGAAATGTAACTGAGTATCTCAGCCTTTACAAACTCTACCTTGGTATCAAAATAAAGCTAAGACTTGGGAGATTTCATCAAGTATTAAAACAGCTGCTGTGGTTTTAGAGATATTGGGGATGGAACATATTAAAGAGTAACTTACCCCAAAATTAACTTTTTTTAGCTGATAAACTGTCTAGAATGTGTCTAAATGTTATATAGTACTGTTTCTGTGCTAATT